ACCAAGGTACCCAACAGGACAGGCAAGGACAGGAGAAAAAATTATGTCCTGTGCACGTCTCTGATTTGTATTGAAGAAAAATATTTCAATTTTGTGGAACTCACATATATTTTTGAAGAAAATAGTGAGTGTAAGTTGAATTGTTAGGTTTTTGCGGCTCCCCTGTACCCAACCCCTGCCCCTTCCCCATTACAGATATAAAATATTTAAAAACTAACACTTATATGCACTAATTAGAAACTTTTTTGGTACAGATCGATTGCGTATGTTCACCACTACTCACATCAGTAATAAAAATCTAGTTTCACTAATTAGAAATCATCATAATTAGAATTTAATCTCTATTTAATCATCAAAGTCTGTCGTTTTTATTATTATAGTTCACGGTTACGACAGTATTATATATTTTTATTATTACAGACGTTAGCAACGAGTGTATGCTACCGCTAAAGAAGCTAGCAACTAGTTTACGCTACTATTACACTCGTTACTTCTATCACCTACAATAAACAGATGAAGATTTTAATCTTTTTTTTTTCTCACACAAATACTCTATTCTAGAGCTTGAATCCACTTTAGTGTATTTACAATTCGCACCTTTTCATCCACGGGGAAGCTTGTATCAAATTTTCGTTTATGAAAAAATATAAATTTCTCAACAATATTGATAGCTATATCCTAAATACTGTTTAAACTATTATCATTCACAATATTTCTCAACGAAACCACTAAACACTTCAGCATACTGACATATTTTAAACAAAAAGATTTTCATACGTTCTCTCTAGTAATATTCCCCTATAGATAGATCTAATAAATTTCAAATGTTAAAAAGGTTTTATTATCTTAGTTTTGAACAAAATATGATCTCACTACACTGACAAAATAAAACTTCTATTTGATCAGTGTCTAACTGATCGGAATATGCGAGTTCCACATTTTAGCCCCAACGGAGCTGCGCTGAAAATCTTTTTAGCAGAATATTATATTTGTCGCAACATTAGTAATCTTGTTTGTTTCTATAATTGTAAAGGAGATGTCAATGAAACAATCATGAATTCTTCTCCTTCTTGTTACTTAATAAGTGAAAAATTCGTTTATATTTGTTAAGAGTGTTCGAGTGCAAATGTGTAAGAATTTCTGTCATAATTATCACATATGGACATGCTCTTTTGCACTACTATCAACATTGTGCGCAGCAGCTGATTATCGTTAGTCAAAATAACAACTCCGTATATCAAAATAGAAGGACGAATGATGAATAGCCACACGTGTACGTATCATACTACATCTGAAAGACTGCTGATCGTTAACTATATTACCTATATCATCATCACATGGCATTCAAGTGCTTATTTGAAAGCTGATAAAATGAGACCGACACGAAAATTTCTATGGAAAGTTACTCAATGACACTTAGGAATAATTTTTGATTAGAAAGTATTTATAAATAATGTATGACACTAATATCGGAAAGTTCTTCAGGTAGACACATGTCCAAAATTTTTGCAAATTTATTTTCTCGCTAGATACTGGCTTTTGTAGAAATCGTTAAAGGTTGAAGGATTTGCTTAAATGGAATGAATATGTCTAACGAAAGAAGGTAGTGAGTGTATATTATAAGACGTCAGAAGTTAAGGTTAGACGGCGGCTGATACGTTTATACAGATGCATCAGATAATAGATGCTAGACGATTTGTCTACAATTTCTTAGTAATGGAAGGAATGCTTCATTGCAATTCACAATTAGGTTCGATCGGCTCAAGCATAACTTGAAGCATTCTCAAAAATCAAATCGACTTAGCAATATTTCTTGTAAGGCATTCCAACGTCTATGCTTTTTCAGGGTCAAAAAATGAATGAAATCAAAGCAAAAAATTTAAAGAATTCTTTTCATAGCACCAGAAAGAAAAGAATTTCAAGTTCTATTAGACATGGAGAATGACTCGTGTTTACCCTTTGAAAATTTTTGGAGCAGTGAGTATTTTAATATGAGAAATTGCTTTTGACTGTTTTAAAAGTATTTTTACTGTGTCTAGTAGCATTGATTAAATCATGTGAAAAAGTCAGAAGTAATTTAATATGAAAAAAGGATCTTCCCATTCTATTTATGCATCTTTTATTTTCATTTCCACGCAACGTAGTTATTAAAGACTGTAATTTATATAAAGAAATTCCATCAAACATGATTAACAGCGACAAGTATGCGTAAAAAATTCTTTGAAAAAAAAATGCCATATAGCAATACGCGCAATCAACAAAACACATTAATAGAAGCTAGATGTCTTGTTATTATTTCGATACGTTACAATAAATAATCAGACAAAAGATATACAAAAATAGTTCGGAATTCTATTGATGATTGTAAGTCCTTGTCAATGTGGCATGCATATGTTCACATATAAACAAAACTAGTTTTTTGCTTATTAGTTTTTTAAGTTTATTATTAATCTTTAAAATAAGCTTTTACGACATTTGCAATCGGGTTTTTCCTAATTTGATAGGATACTGTTCGACTAGAAAATCTTATTATGAATTCAATTACATCAGAGGCAAAGAATAATATTATTCTCATCCATTGATATTTCCATATATAGATTTGATGTATTTCAATATAATTAGATATTGCAGTAGAATATTCAAAAAACAAAAAAGAACCTACTCATTCTTTCTTCTTACTAAATTACTAGTGATTGATTTAATCAATTCAAAAAGACAATCGCATTATATTTTGGCAGAGAAAGCATTATTTACAAAATCGCACCTATTCATCACATGTTGCAAGTCAATTTTCACATATATTTATACCAAAACTTGACATTCGTCAACTATATATATTTCCATACAATGGACACAATTTGATTTGACATCGGAAAAAAGACTTTGTGCATAATTATATAAATAAATATATGTACACACATACATACATATATAGATATATATTTATCATAAAGAACACAGATGTATATGTCACATGGATGTTTAGTGTACATCAGTTTGCCCTTTACTAACTGTCGACGTTTTTCGAGCAACTGACATTGTCATAGAATGATATGATGGACTAATCATTTGTGAACGATGTGAACTAATCGTTTTTCGACATGCCACTATGTTAACAAATGCACGACGAAACGCTCGACTGAATATTGTATAAATGATTGGGTTGGCGCCCGATGAACAGTAGCCAAGCCATGTTGCAACGGATATAAAAGTTGGATGAATGTTGGAGATAAAACATGATAGAAGATTAATAGTAAAAAATGGGGTCCATAGGATGACGAATATGGAAAATATAATTAATAAAACACGCATTGCTTTACGTTCATTAGTAGCTGAGCTTTTCGTTAGGTTTCTAAATGTGGGATGTTTTCTAGTTGCTGACGGAGACTTTGAAGTAATGGCACCCGTCATGACCGCTTGTATATTTGTTGATTGATGTGTAAGACTTGACGAACCAGACGATGAATCTTCGGTATCTAATGAAACCATTTGAAAACTAGCTTGAGACATTTCATCGTGAAGACGTGGTGGATGTTTTCGAGGACCTTGTTGAGATGATGAACCAGCTGACGACGAAAGACTTGGCCTCTGAGCATGAAGAACTCGAGTTGTGAGCGTCGATGAAGTTATTGAAATCAAACTACTTCGTTCCATTGCAGCAAAATTATGAACCGATGCAACACAATCATCAACAAGTAACAGTTGCTGCTGCTGTTGTTGTTGTGGACAATAATTTGAATTTGGCGCTGATGTTGGTCCATATAATTGTTCAATACGAGGGAAATAGCGTGCAAGATTTGAAAATGGAAAATTAAGTGAATAGTGTTTTGGTCCTGATAGCATCGGCGTACTTTCTGTCGCAGTTGTATCTGATACGCAACGTTGTTTTACAGCTACATCATGATCAAGCGATGTTGAAAATGTCGTAATTGTAATCCAATCTTTAATACGTTGACACGTATTTTGTAGCTTCGATGGCGATGTAAGACGACGAGTAAACGGTTCATGATTATGATTAACATTAAGTTTTGTTGAACTATTATTATTATTATTATTATTATTATTATTAATAGTAGTAGTATTTATATCCACTGGTAAATTGTGTATACTATCATGTGTAATAAGAAGGTTTGGAATAGTTACACCATTATTCATAGTTATTTTATCATCATCCTTCTCTAGTGATGATAAACGAATATCTGTACTATGGCTAAAAGAGAAGTAACATACGTAATTAATTATGTAGCCTTAGGGATAGACAATGGAAGGTTTTCAACATAGTACAAAGTTAAAATTATTTATAAAAGCCGATGCGAAAGGGTTAAAAAGAGGAATAAAGCCATAGAACATTTTTTAATCTACTTCGATCAAAATAATACTTGAGCTTCCGCTTTTAAATTTGCACTCTAATCCATCTCACTCTAGTGGAAACCTCGAAATAATTCGAAAGAGTAATTTTTGTTGGAATAACGTCACCAGAAATTTAAAAATTTTAGCAAAGATTATCAAGCTCAAATGTCTAGATAATTTTCAATGAAGAAAGACCACGTCAAATAATTGCTGATAAAAAATTTGACAGCTGATAATGAAAGAAAAAGCTCATTAGTTCGTTTAAAATATATGCGAAGTATATTCAAATGCAAAAATCTATCGACTTAGCGTGATAAGAAACCAGTGTTTTTAGTGTAATCATGCTTTTCTTTTTGGTGAGATGTTTTTTGACCTCAGGAAACAAAGGATGTATGCTGTTACGTTTAACTTCCTGTTATAAAATTAATGATGATGTTTGGCGGATTTCTAAAATTTAACTTACGCACGGCCACGCTGTTGTTGTTGTTGTTCGTGGTCACTAACAAACGTAGTACTGGATTCAACAGTAAGATACGGACTTGGAATAGAGTTTGGTTGAGGCATAGTTGTTGCAACAAGTAAGTGATCAATGGTTGGTGTTGAACTATAACAGACTCGTACACTACGAGGAACAGAAAGTGACGATCGGTCAATTGGTAAACTTTGACTATTCATTGCTGCAGATAATTGTGCTGCTAAATTAGCAAATTCTTCACTGATTTTAGCTGAATCTCGACGTATTTGAAGTAATGCATGAACTGATGAGCTACGCCGACGATCGTTTCGACCATGTTTAACATCGAGTAATGGTGTACATGAATGAGAACGTTTTACATGAGAATTGAAATCAAGAGAAGACTCAGTATCAAGATGATGATCTGAGGATGGAGATGATTGTTCAACTAATACAATATAATGGAATAAATGAAAACAAGAAAAATTCATTCTTATTTACTAGATCTTTCAGGCAATGATTGAAGTTGTTTTTCTCGTCGTTTATACCATGTAATTGGTTTTAATGGTTTTAAAACTTCATTAAGACGATAATTTGAAACAAACATTTGTTTTGATAGATGTTTATTACCGGATGAATATTGCTCATTAGCAAGTAGTGATGCGGCACGTTTACGTTGATAATTCATTGGTGCAGATACAACATTTAATGGTTGAATTTTTTGTTTAGATCTTGTTAACGTGGATTGAATAGAATCTTTTTGTTCATCAATCGGTTCGTTATTAACAGCTCGTTTCCATCGCATTGCGATTGCCGCTAAATTAATTACAGCATGCATTTTTTGTCGTCTTGTATGCCGCTTCTTTTTTGTTGAATATGCTTGTTGTAATGCACTCATTGTTAATGCATATGTAACAATCATAATAATCAATGGAATAAAAAAAGCGACGAATGAGCCATAAATTTTAAATGTTCTATGAGCCGGAAAACATGCACGTGTTTTTTCATCGTATACATTTGATGAATCAACTAAACCGAGAATAAATAATGGCAAACAAATAGCAAATGATATTAACCTATGAACGAGAAATATATATTAATTTGATAAAAAAATTAAAATTTACCATATTGTTATGATTTTATAAGCCATTAAACTTCGTCGTTTATTTCTTCCATATTTTAGCGGATATCTCAAAGTGAGATAACGATCGAGTGACATAACACTTAAAATATAAAACCAGCATTCAAACACTTGAAACAAACAAAGATTTTCTTTTACCTCATGTGCCATATTGAAGATGTGCTACAACAAACATCAAATGTTAACCAAACATTACAGGCTAATGCATTAAATGGAAAATGTCCAATAAGTTCAACAGTAACAGCTAGTGGCATAACAAGACATGCCACCATACAATCAGTAAATGCAAGTGATGTTAAAAAATAGTTAGTCGTATTTTGTAAATGTCTTTCACGTATAACAGCAATACAAACGAGACTGTTACCACAAACAGTAAATAAAATAACTAAAATATTTTTTTTGAATTACTCATTTAATTATAGATAATCTATAATTTAATACTTTCTTCTCAATAAACTTCTCATATTAATAGTATTCTTTTTACTTTTTATAGAAGAAAAAAAACAGGTCTTATCAGTTTCCGCTCTCAGAATATTTATGCATATGACATTTTCTTTCATTCTTTTTTTAGCATTCTTATTAGTGTTAAATAACGTATTATTTTTATATAGAAGTGTCCTTAAAAACCTTTAGCCCGTTGTTTCAACTAGGTTTCTACTTGAGAATATTGATCTCCGCCTATCATACTCTTGATTCTTCTTTGTTTTAATAATGATAAAATATATACTGGATTTCTTTTCTCTTTTTTTTTATGAATAATGTTTTCTTTTTGGTGATAATACCCTACTACTTTTCACAAATATTAGCGCCAATATGAAAATAACAATAAATGATAATGAAAAACTAAAAATAAATCTTATTAGATGTGTAACCGGCTAAATAAAGGCTTGAACTTTATTCTTTTGTATCAAGAAAGTATTATTACTTACTTATAATTAATGATAAAGTAGCCCACATTGGTTCAGTATATGTTGAATACGGTAAACTACTATTGTTAGTGCCAGTCGGAGGGTGTATATCGTTTCTTGTTATATTAATCGTAGCAGATGAAGCCCAATGATTCGCAGTAACTAACATCTCTTTTTTCTGTATTTCTACAAAAAAAAACGAAGAAGTATAGATTTTTTCAGTACGTGTGTAATAGAAAATAATATGAACGGATGTATGTGAGGCTATGGTTTGAAGGCTTGACTATGTCCGGATGTCCGTGCCAACACCAATCATTCGTTCTGACAAGAGGAAGTGAAGAAAAGATATAGAAGACAAGCAAAATGAAATGAATGTTACTTGATGATATTGAGGAAAAAACGCTGAAAAATATGTACATATATAGGTAGCGACGTTTTTATGCAATAAAAAGCAAAGGCTAGATGCTTAGAACTGATAAAAACAAGTATACATATATGTATTTTGTCACTTTTTTCAATTATGATCTAAATATCATTTCTGTCATGTTTTAAAACGGATATCTCATTTTCTAATCTATCTTGCTGCGATTGTATGAACACCCTTTTCTCTCTGGTTTTCATCTATCCTTGATTTGAATGAATATCGAAATGCAATCTAGGAATACGCTTTTGTCCGATCGATTGAATTTCACACGCATCTTAGTACGTAGCTCAAATCACATTCAAGGAAAGTATCGTTACCAACACGATTTTTCTGATGGTGTTTCACTAATACCAAGGACATTAGCCGTCGGCAACAGATACATCGGAACATCGACAAATTATCTACTATCTCCTTTCCTTTATTTCTTTTCTCTGTCACTCCAATGGAAAATGAGAGCGTGACAACCACAACGGGTGATCCTTCTTATGTATGAGAAGAAAGACGGAAAGGCAGAGAGAGAGAGAGAGAGAGAAAGAGAGAAAGAGAGAAAGAAAGAGAGAGAGAGAACAACTTGAAAAATGAGATTTTCATCAATGACACTCGGTAACTAAATGAGAATCTTACTAAAAGAGAAATATACAGGACATAACGCACTTGCTCGATAATCTCATTTCCAACTCCATCAGCAAGAAAGTTACATAGATATGAACGAAGAAAGACAACTTGAATATTATTACGTCGTATCACTATACTCATCAACACTTGCAAATAAAGACAGAAAATGCTTATGCACATACATATATATATATTTGCATAATTCTATCAGCCTTCTTGCGTAACTAGTCAGCCGTAACATACGAGAAATTGGATGCTTGTGAATCTTAACATTCGATCGTACCATAAAAAGAAATACGAAAAAAAAGAAGCCTATCGATAAATTCACTTATCGCGACCAGTGTCGGTTCGGGGTCATCGCGTCACCGCCTGATAATTCATTGCTATGCCTTCTCATTGTCTATACTATATATATATATATCTCAATGTCTAAAGAAAAGAACGACACGAAAGTGACAAATGATAGGTCGACTTCTCTACATATGAATTGCATGCATCGGTATCTCGTACGATCGACTTTGAAAACTATTATGCCGTGTCTGATTACTTGTATTACATGCCAAATATGTAGTCAACATATAAACTCGAGTACTTAAGTTTGTCATTATGGCATGTATGATAATAACTAACTAAATTTTGATGAAGATCATTTTTCATCTCATAATGATTTCAGTTTGTCAATCGTATTAGGAAAAATCGCTTTCACCAAATTGTTGATTTTTTTTTCTTTAAAATAATCACCTTGTAATTCAATTAATCTACAAAGAAAGAAATATTTATTTTTAACAAAAGTAAACATACAGGAAAGTTTTTCAGACTACATACAAATCACATGTAGTATAGATATATTCTATATGATCCAGCAGTTGTTCATTTGGTCGCGTATTTTTTATAGCTGTATTTAATAAATGATTTTGTGTTTTATTGAGTAAAAATCTAGTGAATCGAAGAAACATTTGACCTGTTTTCATCGTGTAAATGCACCAATAAACCTCCCAAAAGCAAAATCCAATAAATAATTCAACAAAAAAAAATAACAATGACAATATGAATTATTAGCTGAGTTGATTAATGTGTCGAATCAATATTATTAGAGCAATACGAAATATAATTAACTAACTATTAAGTACAGATAGAAGCTGTTTTCAACATACATGAACCATTTTGATAATGTTCCGAGTAAAAAGCGCTAATTATATACTATTTTCTCTAATGCAGTCTACTTAGCTACAATATAGAATCAAGGAAGAAAGTACTAGAAGGCTTTATTTCTGATTCTTTCGGCAGACTGATCGGGCTAGTCTTATTATGGAAAAAAATAGTGATCTATTATTTGCCACATTTTTACTAAATAGAACGAATACAAGATTTGAGTACATCTTAACGAAGGACAAAGCTGTCACTGAACCAAAACAAGGGAAAAAAGAACAAAACTATGGTCATGATGAAGAACTCATTTTTTTAATAAATATTCTTTGTCTCCTCTGAAAAGATTTAAATAGAAGCACATTTCTAGTTGACAGTATACGTGTCCTGTTCAATAACAGTTCCTAAGCGATGAAAAGTAAGAGAAATAGAGCAGAAAAACGATCATGAATAAGCCCAAATCATGTAGACAGATAATAATGATAGCAATATGATTGAAATCTATCCTGATTCTTAGATACACAACGAGAGTATAAGAGAAATTAAAGAATGACATTGAGAATAATCAAAGACACAGCAGGAGTAATAAGGCGACAGTAGTTTCTTTTCTTCAAATGATATTCTCAAAGCTTATTATTAATCTATCTTCTAATCAAATAGAAAGTAAGTAAAAAGAAGAAAAAGAAAAAGAAGAAGAAGAAGAAGAAAATAATGCTCATGCCGGCATAATATAATCGGTTTTTCGCCTGACTAAAAAAGTCGAGTAGCTAGCTATCATAGTTGAAAGTATTTTTTCTTCTATCATTGGGATTATCAAAAAGAATAACGCGTATAGCTGTATTGCATCGACATCAATATTATTATTGCATGAGTATACAGTTCTTATCGACATTCGATGTACATAGTAAGAATATATGAGCAGATGACAGATGTGATTGATCTCAAGAAAGCAACGACAATCTATGAAAAATGGAAAAAGGTAATAGACATGCTGCATTAACTAGAAGAAGCAGAGTAATTGTGATTGTATGAGATGCTTAACTGCACACACGAAGGTGAATAGGCATGGGCGGGCAAAATACATAGTTAGAGAAAATAATATTTGTGTCGGTTATATTCTCTTTTTCTTTTTTAGTTTGTTCTTGTTGATCTTCATATTGTAAAGCACACACTCATGGAAAAACGGCAGGCTTACGCATCAAGCTCTCATTTCCTTTCGTTGCTGTTCTTTTTTTGTGATAAGATATATCTATATTGCTAATCTACTTTGAAGGAATCTAGCTCTTTGCCGAATGTTTTTTTTTCTTCTTCTTTATAGATCCTGATTTTACAATCGTTTACACCGTTAGCTAACAATCATTGTCAAAAAAAAGAGTTAGGGTTAGTTATATCGATGACATTTGATAATTCGTCGATCGATGAGAATGTGCAAGAGAAAGAGTATGTGATGAAATATTGAGCGATAGCTTTGCCCTTATGTAGATAAATATACCTATGATGGTCTGATTCTCTTTCATACTACTGATATAAATTGAAAAAAAGATGATGACTTACTGCTTCATATTATATAACTGATGATTTTGAAACAAGAGAAAAAAAGAGGATATTCTTCTATCTACATAGATGTCAAGGTTGTGAGCTTTTCGTTGAACGTTCACATACAAATAAAAAGAACAAGATGATTTTTTGATATTGAGGTTATTCTTTTATATATTCAACCATGAAAAAAGAAGAAAAGATTCTGCTACTTCGAAGAAATAACAAAAAAGATATTATATTTTGGAATGTTATTGCAGCTGACAGCTGTTCTTTTTTTAATCATATAATAGTATATTGTGTGCGCATAATTTAATATAGAGAACAATAGGCAAAAGTACGAATAACAGGAAAATTCACCGTTAGAAAATCAATCACAATCACAGTTAATAAATATTTGTTCCTGAGATCTTGTTTTTTGCGTGAAAAGATTATGCTACACGTATAGGTGAACCAGCGCGTGCCCTTCCAGTAAGATTCACTCTTGGTGCATATCCTGATTGTGCTCCTGGAAGTCTATAGTAGGCTGGTGCTACATAGGGTGGCTGGCCAGTAGCTCGAATCACAGACGGCTGTGGAAAGGCTGTGACAGTTACACGTCGTATTACACTCGGACCATAATATTGAGGCATACGTCGAGCTATATATTGAGAAAGTAAAGATGGTCCTTGTAAAGCAGCTTGATATTGATACGGATTTGGCATCATTCTAGGATATGCTGCATACGGCATTCCATTGAGTAAATTAGCTGGTCCAAGAAGTCGCTGACCGCCATAGAGACGTCGACTATAACTATGCGTTGCTAAATTACCGAAACCATATCGTTGATAATAATAGCCAGTAACTATGAATAAGATTGCAGCTAAAAATGCCAATATAATAGTCGGAACTATGAGCCAAAATCCATAACGTTTATTGTATTTTGCGTCACCTCTTAGTTTAGAAAGACTGTTTGATTCTTGACCAAATATGGGTAAACCAATAATAAGAAAAATAAAACCGAGAAGCATTAAAGCACCAGCTGCATAGGCTAATAAAGGAAGAATAGCTGTAACTACGGCAACGATAAGACCCAAAGAAAGCATTATCATGCCAATAGTGATTAGACCGTCTGATATACTAAGAAAACTTGGTTCAGTACCATTAAATAATTGATGGGAAGCATCTGACCAGTGTCTACAAACAGTATTATAAAGTGGAGCTGGTTGTTGGCAATATGCCCAAAGACCATAGAATTCTTCTGTAGAACCATTATAATGTTGAAATGCATGCCAATCAGGTACACCAAAGCCAATCCATCCTAATAAAAGTCAAAAAAAAAAGTTCAGTTTCTCTTTATTTATCAATTTCTCTTTGTATGCAAACCAAGAATAAAAGCAATAAATGCTAGACCAACACCAATACCTAATAAAATTTTCCAAAAGCCAGGGCCTATCTTTGGCATTTTTGTTTTGCTCTCTTATCAATTACTCTAAACCAAAATCAGAAAAGTTAATCAATATGATACGACGTTGTGTATGACTGAGTTTTTTCTTCTTTATTTGCTAGTGTTTCTTCACTATCAGATATAAACAAGGAAAATGCAGTAAGAAATAACGAAAACGAACGAAAACTGAATATTAAAGAAAAATAACATTCGAAAATGTGACATATAACATACGTAGAGGAAATTATTCAAGCATGCCGAATAAAAAAACAAAAAAATATCAACAAAAAAAGAAACCAACATGGAGTCACGAAAAGCCGTTGCTTATTAGTACGAAATAACTATAAATAATGTGGTTATTATTGTAGTGATTATACGTTGAGTTAATTTAAGAGAATTCAAGAACCTTGAAAGTATCATACAGCATTGAATGAATCATCCTAATTATAAAATTTCTTTTCTTTTGGTTCAGAAAATTAGTAGTAGCTACTGGTTAACACGCAAAAGCAAACCATATATCATTCTCTACACAAACAAACTATCTATAAAATAAAGACAAAAAGTCTGATTGATGTTAAAATTTGATATATAAGTTTCTATCACGTAAATATAAATTATTGTCTTACTAATTAGACAAATATGGCAAACAAATATTGTCAATGTCAAAATGAGAATATTTCGAGCTGTTAGCACTCAATAAAGAACGACAGTAGATAGGATACAAGAAGAATTAGTTTTTCCTTCAATTCCAATGACAATATGTCCTCTATGATATCATTAATCAAATATTAACTTGAGATTCATATCCGTAGTACTAATTACCCGATTGAGAATTTAGTAAATATTAGCTACATTGAAAATTTCATTGATATGTATAATTTATCGAAAATTCAACATTCATGAAAAAATAATTGATTATTTATTTATTTAAAGAAATCTTCATAGACGTAATTAAGTGGAAGCGAACTTCTGGCTATGAAAATTTGTCACTTCATGATAAAAAGAAAAGAACTTCTTTACAAACATACAATTGATAGATCATTATGCATAGATATTCAAATGATAATTGTTTACAATATCAATATTTTTTCTTTTCTATTTCAAAAGAAAAACACAGAAGTCTTGAGGGTGTGAAAACCATAATCAATATTTTTCTAGCTACGCAATGCGTCATATCGTGAATGTTTATAATTTTTACCAAGTATCAAACACGTATCTAAGACGTACTACAGATAGTTATTGGCTGCGACTGTTTTTACTCAAACAATCAATCAAGTAATTGTAACCTTATGGCGAAGAGAAATATTTATCTAAACAATACAGTCGTTACATTACTTATAGTATATTAAATAGAATTCAAGTGAAAAAAATCAAGGGTATTAACATAAGAAAAAATTATTAGAAAATCGGAGTATTTAAGAAAGATCATTAAAAAACCTCTTTTTTTTAAAACTATATCCCAATAGGCTTTAGAGATTATAAAAAGAAAGGAGTTTTATTCTCAATGGAAAGAATCCATAATCATATTGCATTCAAACGTCATATCTATAGTTTAATTTGCTTCTTTCTTTGTAGGTATAGATGAGAGTTTTAATCTGTTATTTTCAGGTATTAAATGGCAACGCCATCTATTATCCAATTCCTATATACTTTAATATTTTTTCTTATGGCCAATGCAAAAGTATACGAATCTGATAAGAAATCTCGGTACGTACTTCAAAAAAGACAAACAGATACTCTAACCCTGAACATCGAAATGCTTTGGATTTCGAGACTAAACTAGTTTCTATCACAGAACAAGTCTTATTCTGTAGGACAACTGAAATATTCTCTAAAAACTTGCGTCCTTTTTAGAGTCTTCAAATACCATGGATAATCGTCGATCGAATCGTATCCACAGGTATGCATCATATGATATATTTATTTTTCTATTGTAAAAACTGATTACAGATTTCAGCCAAAGTTCATTTCACTTGTGGATGATGGTTTATCAGATTACATGAATCTAATTGGAATGCTTTGCTCTATGTGTGCATTGATGCTCAAGGTAATCGGGGGGAAAATGAACTACATTCGAAATTGAAATTCTTATTCTTAAATTAAATTCTAGATAAAATTGTGTGGATGGATTGCATTATTTTCTGGTAATCATAACTGCGAAAATAAATCTATTTTCTTAAGAACATAAATAATATTTAGCAATTGTCGGCTTTGCCAATTCGCGAGTGTCGGAAGATGGTAAACAAGTGTTTAGTAGTTTCATGTATGTATTATTTATCACTCAAATGAGAACAGAAATCAGATGAAAACGAACCCACAGTTATGTCGAAGTGATGTTGATTTTTTTTCATACACAACATGAGAATTCAACTAGTCTTACTAATGATAGAATGAATTATTCATAAAAAAGATCGAGATGTATTTTTTGAAATCTACGAGTGCGAAACATGTCTCAACACGTTTTCGTCTTAAATAAAAAAATCATGTTTATCTTTGTTTAGGCTTTCAGCATCTGCTATTGTTATTACCTATATGCAAAATCCTGCACCTATGAAGATTCCATATTTCGAATGATATATTTGTTAAATTTCGAATAAAAAGAAAAATACATTTATTTTAATCGTCCTCTTTATTATAATTAATTGGTTCACCTAGAAAAATAGTTGACGATAGAATATTATTCAATGTATTTTGAAAGTCACGTCGAAGTATTTCATTTGTTGATCGTAATATATTAGCATTCGTTTTTAATAAATTTTGTTCATGACTCTGTTCAGTATCATCATGAAGCAATTGTGTAATTTTTTCGAAACGCTTCGATTCTTTGTCAATTTCATTTTGTAATTGTTGACATTCATATTCTAACTCTTGAATAACATGGCCACTTTTTTGTTTTTCTTCTGTTTTACATAAATATTGCCTTAAAGCATAAGCCATGCCGCTTGCATAAAGTTCTTCATATGTATTCATCCATTGCAGATATTCATTTTTAATTCTTGCAAGTAAAAGACCACGCTCAGTGCATTGAAGAGTTATGCTACGAATAAGTTCATCAAACAAATCATTATAAATTCTTCGACGTTTTTTACATAAACCTATTTCAAGTGCTTGTTCTTTATATAGCATCCCATGAAAACGTTCTTGTAAATGATTGAGATCGCTTTTTGTACTTGGAATTGTTGATGGAAGAAAAATTTCTTCATGTTGATGATCGAGTAATATTTGTTTTTTACGATTCATATCGATATATATTGGAAATAAACAGAGAAATGTATGATCTTTATCTATTGTGCATGATAAAAGATCGTGTTTTATTTTTTGATAGATTCGATCAGACACATAGAATGATGTTGGCTGCCAAATGACTTGTAAGTCTTTCATAGGTAAATTGCATTGTTGACCAAAGATATCATGTTCAAGTACAAAATCTATGAAAAGAATAGAAAAAAAGCCGATACAATAAATCAGTTTTTTTGTTTTTATGAAAATCTATACCGTCGTTTTCTTCTGTATCTAGTAGAGAGTGTATGATTGGTGGCATTTTTTGATACATTTTTCGTACGTGTGAAAGCATGTGTAATGTTTCTAGAGAGATTTTTGATGACTTCGAATATTTTAATAAACGATTTTTAGGATGATATTCTTGATGGATATTCCAAAAGTATGATTTTTCCATTATTACCAAATTACTTTCTGTTTATGATGCCGCTTTGAAAAAAGTAAAGTAGTATAGCAATCATTTGAAGAAAATCAATGCTCTTTTATTCGGCTAGTGCTTTTTTTCTTTTCCCGGTTGCACGGCACGTTCAATCAACTTATAATTCTCATTGAATAACTAATGTCTCTTGTCAATTTAATATGGTTGAGAATAAAAGCAGATGTAAATCTTCAGTTTCATTTGTTCCCGTCTCGCTTTACTTTTTACATGGCAACAACAAAGCAATGGATCCCAATCATTTTTATCATAGTTACAATCCATAGGCTAGTTAAAATCATAAGATAAACGTTTGTGAAACGGTTTAGCTTAAAATAATTGCGTTTACCGATGTTGTACGTCTCTTAGTATATGTGGCAATGTGTTCATTTCATATAAATAGTGCAATAACAGATAACACACAGGATTAATTAATCGTGCACTATAAAGTTATTTATTGAATCATCGTCAGCAACCACTACTATAAATAAATAGTGTGATGAATAATATGCCAAGACGCACTATTTTTTCAGTATTTTGATTAAATTAATAGCTGTCAGTATATTTCTTTTACTATTTAAGAATTAAGAAAGTGTTTGGCATCATATAGTAATTGTTCCTAAAACTGTTGCCCTTTCAAAAAATAAAAATCCGATGTGTTACTACCCCCAGGATAGAACGTCACCCTGTAATAGAAAGGCACCCGGAATAGAACGCCACCAAAAAATGAACGACTTATTGAATCGTAATAGAAAGCCATGGCTTCCAAATCAGGGGGAGGGGGTATTCTATATCGTGATAGTCAATAGATCAAAGTGCTGTACAAGTTACGTTTCGCTGCACAAAAAGATGAAAATAAACTGATCACTCAATTTTCCTCCAAGATAATGAAAACCAATTTAAGCAAAGAGTTTAGAATTTCGTCATGCACTCACGGTTACTAAGCTTTTATTGTTCGGTTTATATCTACCAGTTCATTTATGGCGACATTTGAAAGAAGGAAAAAATCTGCAAACGTGATAAAATGCCAGAAGGCAGCATGCAATTGTATTACTATCTTTCCTTTAGTTTATTATATCATGATACTAGCGATGATAATACACAAAAAAGGAGTGGAGTGCTTGAATGAAAAAGCAATAAAAAGAAAACAAACCATAAACAGTTCTAAAAACCATAGAAGCATCAACAAAGCCTGCCAACAGAATACTTCAATTCAAATCATTTTATTTTGAATTTTGAATAATCTAACATAACGCACACTATGAACGACAACGAAACCTCAACGACGATGTATACTGCTATTTCAATTGATCATATGAGTACAAGACTGCCTCATACTAGTATGCTTCAAAGCTTCGGATTAGTCTGGTTTGATGTAGATGTTCATAACACTAATCAAAATATTTGTGTTGATACCATCAAGAAATTAAAAGAAATCGCATATGAGGTACATCAATTTCTAGTTTGGATGAATGTGTTGATTTCATTAAAGATATTCAAGATGAGAGTATATTTATGATTTTATCTGGTGTTTCTCTTCCGACAATGATTCCCATTGTTCATGATATTCCTCCAATCAATACTATCTGTCTTTTAAGTGACAATCACATTCTACATCAAGACGACATTAATCAATATAAAAAAAGTAAAACTGATGATTTCAGATGTAACTTCTATTTGTGATAAAATTCGCGAAGCCGTATCCTGGTACGATCAGAATTTGGTTTCCACAAGTTGTATATCAACTAGTAGTGAAGACTATATACAAAATCTGGATCATTTAGATGCATCATTTATGTACACTGAGATACTAAAGGAAATCTTGTTAGCAGTCGATTTCGAAAGAAAACACTTCGATGAATTTATTTCATATTGTAGCCAACTTTCGAAGAACAATGAGATCAAACTGAGCATAGTGGATAAATTCAATCGAGAATACCATGAACACGCCCCGATATGGTAGTATACATCACAGCGGTTTCTCTATTCTATGCTCAACCAATCACTACGATTGATCGATGTAGATCTGATTATTCGAATGGGATTTTTTATTCGAGATCTTCATAACAACATCACTGAACTGCATACTGAACAATATCCTCGACATATGAATGCGACTTCCTTTACTGTTTATCGTGGTCAAGGACTGTCTCAGACACAGTTTGGTCAGATAATTTAAAACAAAAATGGGCTCTTATCATTTAATCATTTTTTGTCTACAAGTCTGGATCAAGATGTATCTCGTATCTTTGCGGAAATTCAACTAGCAAATCCTGACGTCATTGGAGTTATTTTTGAAATAAATGTTAACACATCCATATCCAATACTGCGTTCGCAAACATCAACGGTATCAGTCATTACAAGCACGAAAACGAAATGCTCCTCACAATGAATTCAATCTTTAGAATCTGTCTCATGTAATCAATTGATGGAAATAATCGTCCATGAAACATTGATTTCACACTCACGGATGAAAAAGATTTGAATCTTCAAAGACTTACTGAATACATGCGCAATGAGATCTCTCCAAATTCGAAAGGGTGGGATCAATTGGGTATGCTTCTTATTAGGCTTGGTCAGTTAAACAAAGCTCAAGAGGTGTATGAAGTCTTACTTCATCAATCACTGACCGATCCGGAAAGAGCGCATATTTATCATCAACTCGGAATTGTCAGGGTGTGGGTGTAACTATATAAAAAAAAAGCAACCAAACTAATACTAGCACTAAACATAGCAAAATACGATACTTTATAATTTTTTTATTCGTTGTTTTCTTAGTATCTTTCATTTAATTTAGATTTATTATCCTTTGATTTGCGATCTAATTATAAATTACTTCCACATTGATTGATATATACATAGATACCTAGTTAGCGCAATATTTTCAACAAATTAATTAGCCATTGAAACGGTTTTTTAATATGATTAAATTAAATTAAATTTCTATTGATCTTGTTTACATAATACTTTAGAATAATTTAATATTTGAATCGTCTATTGTTGAAGTAGAAAATATGTATCAGATGATAAAAATGAAGATATCATTACCAATTAAAAAATTAGATTGAGAATTCGAGTATGAGTTTAAATATTTGGTTCAATTACAATCATGCCTACATTCTCTCTGAGATGAGTTACAACAATATAAATATTAATACGAACCAAAAGGTAAACTAGATGTAATATTCACGTTAAACGATAACCACAATTATATGGATCTTGAACTCTTTTTTCTGTTTCAGTTAACATAGTTTACTGCAATCAACAATTTCTACAGATCAACAGAAATTAAAGTTTGAATTATATAACCACCGATAAACGGAGTACCCATGCCATGAAAATCGGATGAATATCGGCGGTTAACCGCGGTTTTACCGGTCCGCGTACCGACTCCCATATCAGTGTAATTTACCGCAAAAAATGATCCGGTATTCGCAACATGGGTACATACATTATTTTCGTATATTTTTCTAATAAAACAGACGACTTTGTTGACAGCAAAACAAATGCAATAGATTCTTAAAGATAGTATGTAGCTTAATGTTGATATCAATGAATTTCATAGCTCTGCACATGCTATACGTAAGCCAATTTGATGACCGATGAATATAATAAATGTAGAGAACCATCAAATATTTCAAGACCTGTCACATTCATGATTCTTGAGAACTTTTAACCATTCTTTTAGATAAAGAAGATTTTTACAGTAGTTTTTCTTACTTTTATAGCATCTATTACATCTAAATATCGTTGTTGTAGAACTGAACTCATATTCAATAGTTGATATATACATGTGAAAAGGGTTGGTCTGAATATAGATATGTGTTTATGGAAGTCTGATTAAGGATATAAATGGGAATCAAAGGAAGTACAGACGTTCACACTTAAATAAATTAGATTCAATGTGTGGTCGTCAACTTAGCCACAATTGATTTAAATCTGCATAATCTATGCAAATCGATTGATAGAGAACAAGTCAGGTATAATAAATCACCAGAAACATAATCTATCAAATCCGAGTGTAAATGATTTGCATAAAAACATATTCCGAAAACAAAATTTTATTTTTCATACTTTAATTAGAAAACTGTAAACATCCCTTAAGAGAGTTCGAATTATCGTTTTTAATTAAAAAACAAATTTTTTTTTTATAAACTATACTGACATGTCTATTGGGAGGATCAGATACTAAAATGCCTAAGCTCGTAAACTGTGTATATTATGTATCAAAATTTCTATTTGCATTGAAGTAGAAAAAATAATGGTGCATGCACAATACAATTCAAATGCAAATAATAATTTTTCTTATAATCCAGTGATAGAATTTTTTTTCGCACCTTTAAATATAAATATAGAGTAATGATTACATCAGTAAAAAACATCTCATAATTCAAAGTTTTCATATTTGTTTCAGATCATCAAATTAAGTTAGATGTTTCAACTCGAACTAAGCATATATCTATTAGATAGGTCTCTCTCTAATCGACTGATAGCATGAAGTCATTTCAGAGTAATACTATTTTATTTATAGTATAGATCTCTGCATGGAATGTTTAAAAAACTTATGAATTCAAAGTCTAACGTTCGGTAGGTTCAGTTATCATCGGATAGGAGACATGGTGAACTTGCGAATGTACAATTCGTCAATTAAACTGTGTATAAGAATTATGAACTTCTACATTTCAGTTCATCCTCCCAAAACCATTGCTACTTATCGATAAATTCCGCATAGTCATCAAGATTTCACTCGCTGCTTTCACCTCTCCTGCTAGCTAATCTAGCTGAATTTTCAAAGTGCAACAGGTATTATAGCATTGAGAACGAAACACTTTTCATCGATAACTAA